CCACATTTGGTCAATCTACACAACAAACTTATGTTCAGAGGGGTGACGTAAGGGAGCAAAGATCGCAGGGAAGGGTGTATGCAGTTACTGTTTCTGAGCAAGCTACGGGGCCATCGGTTGTGCGAGGTATATTTCTCATCTTCAATACATGGGCTAAGGTGTTGATTGACACTGGGGCATCACATTCATTTATTTCCACGTCATTTGCATCATTGCTGGGGTTAGAGAGTAAACAACTACAGGCTTCGCTTATAGTAGAATCACCAATAGGAGGAAAGGTCATTCTGACCTGGGAATGTCAGGGGTGTGTAATTGAGGTAGCAGGTCAACAACTTCCTTTTAATTTTGCATTGTTGGAAATGTCGGGTTTTGATGTTATTCTTGGAATGGATTGGTTGTTCACATACCGGGCAACAATAGATTGCCATCAGGGGAGGGTCACAGTGTGTTCTGTAAGTGGTGATTGTTTTACAATTTTAGGGGATAGGTATGATAGATCCTTACCCTCCTCATACTATCCTTGTGGTCGAGATTAATTGAATTTCGTTTTAGCAAGCCTTTGGGAGGATGGAAGTGATGTAATCCGGGATGAATTCCCAAAAGTAGTGCGTGAATACCTCGACATCTTTCCTGAAGATCTCACAGAGTTACCACCTCATAGGGAGGTAGCGTTCACCATAGATTTGCTTCCGGGTATGGCACCTATCTTATTGTCACCGTATAGGTTTGCTCTAGCTGAATTAGTGGTTCTGAAAGAACAATTGAAGGAGTTACTTAGTAAGGGCTTTATACGCCCTAGCACGTCACCTTAGGGAGCCTTGGCATTGTTCGCAAAGAAGAATGATGGGTCCTTGAGATTGTTCATAGATTATCGAAAATTGAACCAAGCTACGGTTAAGAATAAATACCCCTTACCAAGAATAGATGACCTCTTTGACCAACTTAAAGGCTCTCGTTATTTCTCCAAAATTGATTTAAGGTCGGGTTATCACCAAATTCGAGTTAGAGAAGAGGACATTCCCAAAACCGCTTTTCGTACCTGATATGGTCATTATGAGTTCTTGGTTATGCCTTTTGGGCAGACTAACGCCCCAGCTACATTCATGGACCTAATGAACCAAATCTTTAGAGAGTTCCTTGATATATTTGTGGTGGCCTCTGTAGATGATATTCTTATCTATTCGCTTTCCGAAGAAAAGCATGAAGGGCATCTTCGTACAGTCTTGCAACTTCTTAGGGAGCACCGGCTTTATGCTAAGTATGAAAAATGTGAATTTTGGCTTACGGAAGTGAAGTTCTTGGATCATGAAGTTTCGGGGGACGGCGTTATGGTGGATTCTTCGAAAATATAAGCTGTGCTAAACTGGGAGCAGCCTAAGAATGCCTCCGAAATTCGAAGCTTTCTGGGCTTGGCCAGGTACTATCGCCGTTTTGTGAAGAATTTTTCTTTTTTAGCATCACTGTTGGCCAGATTGACCCATAAGGGAATAAAGTATGCTTGGAGCAAAGCATGTGAGAATTCCTTCCAAGAATTGAAGATTAGATTAACCACTGCTCCCATCCTTATCATTCTGGAATGAGGATTAGGTTACACGGTGTATTGTGATGCCTCAAGGGAGGGATTGGGGTGTGTCCTTATGCAAGAAGGAAGGGTAGTAACATATGGCTCGCGCCAACTAAAGATTCATGGAGGAAACTACCCGACTCACGATCTAAAACTTGTTGCCATTGTTTTCGCTTTGAAGTTGTGGAGACACTACCTCTACAGTGAGAAATTTGAAGTCTTTTCTGACCGCAAAAGCCTCAAGTACTTATTTTCCCAGAAGGACTTGAACCTGCTTCAGCGGAGATGGATGGAGTTCCTAGAGGACTATGATTTTGAGATACACTATCACCCCGGTAAGGCCAATTAAGTAACGGATGCTTTGAGTAGAAAGTCAGTGAGTGCAATAGCCAACTTAGCAATGAATGAATGGAAGATAATGGGGGATGTCAATGAATATTCTCTACGGCTCGGTGAATCTTCAGAACAAGCAACTCTCTTTGCCACCATTGCACAACCGACTCTTGTTACAAGAGTAATTGAAGCTCAACTGGGGGATTCAGAAGTAGAAACCGTTAAAGGGAGAATTCAACTCGGAAAGGAAAAGAGGGGTTTAAATGTTCATATAGACTCTAGTATTCGTTACCTCAACCGGCTGTTTGTACTTGAATCCATAAGAAATGAAGTTTTGAAAGACTTTCGTCATTCCCGTCTCGCTGTACACCCGGGAGGCACCAAAACGTATCATGATCTAAGCCGCCAATTTTGATGGAGGGGTATGAAGAAGGACGTAGCCTCTTTTGTGTCCAAGTGTTTAACATGTCAACAAGTTAAGATGGAACACCAAAGACCGGCTGGACTATTGCAACCCCTCCTAGTTGCCGAATGAAAGTGGGTATACGTCAACATAGATTTTGTTTCTGGTCTCCCTAGGACTCAGAGAAGTAACGATGCAGTGTGGGTGATTGTTGATAGACTTACTAAGTTGACTCATTTCCTCGCCATGAGTATGGGGGACTCCGTAGAATTTTTAGCCGAACTTTATGCTCATGAGATTGTCCGCCTCCATGGAGTACCAATCAGTATAGTATCTATAGCGATCTCGGTTTTCCCTTTCTGTATTTGTTGTATTTCGGACTTTGGTTCCGTGGGGTTGGTGGTTGTATACCTTATTGTCATCCTTTAAATTCCTTATGTTTGAGTTTTAGGATGTGTTGGGCATGTTTCGAGTAGGTAGGTCGAGCCTTGGTCTAAATCCTTGTTGCCCAAGTTTTTGGTGTTACGCTCGAGCGGGTAATTCTGTGCTCGAGCGGAGTTTGGTTTTTGGTTGTCCGCTCGAGCAGATGTTCTGGCGCTCGAGCGGAGATTGCACCCTTCTAATATTTCGTGTCCTTGCAAAACTTCTGCAGGTGTGTTTTCTACGCTCGAGCGGGTTTCTTGCGCTCGAGCGGGTTGCGCTCAAGCGGGCTTGTTGGAGCTCGAGCGGGTAGTACCTCGTTGGTGAAAGTTCTGGGAGATGAAAATCTATGCTCGAGCGGACTAGTTTTCACGCTCGAGCGGATGTACTTTATTCTTATGTCTTGGCGCTCGAGTGGGACTTCTTGCGCTCGAGCGGAACCAGTATTTTGTTCTTGACGCTCAAGCGTTGTGTTTTCCGCTCGAGCGGGAATGTCGTATAACAGAGAGCAGCTGGGCATTTTTGAACCATTTTCTACACTTCTACTCTCTCTCTTACTTTCCAAAAAGATATTTTGAGAGCCTCTCTCTCTAGAAACTCCCTTCTCTCTAGGGTTTGATCTAGTTAGAGTGCTTTCCTTCCCTTTGGCCTTTGTAAAAGTTGTGTTGATCGTCGAGGGCTTCGTTTTGATCCGTGGATCTTGAAGTTTGAAGCATTTTGGTTTCCTTCATCTTCTTCTCTTGGGCTCCGAATTTGAGGTAGGGATTCCTAGTCACTCTTATGGTCTTTGACATAGATTTTGGTTATTTTGATAAAGTGTTGAAGTTGGGTAAATTTTGGGACTTAGGGTTTCAAAATGTTAAAAGAGGGTTTTGTTATTTTGATTCAAAAATATGCATTTTGGGTTTCAAAATGATGATATTGTTGTTGGTTGTTGATATATAGGCCATTGGGTCAATATTAGGAAACGGGGTAGAAAACCCTAATTGGTTGTATAAATTAATTGGTATGATTAATGTGGGAAAATTATGGTTATATGGAATTGAGTTGGAAATAATGAAATTGGTTCATTTTATAGCAGAATAATGGAGTTGGATTTATTAATCGTTCACTTTTGAAAACATTGATATTTTATCTGTTGGAGCTTTTATTATCTGTGTAGAAATAATTGCTTGGGCTACCGGTGGAGGGTAGTTTTGATTGTTGTGGACAATGCATGATGATTAGGCAAACGAAAACTAATAAATTGCTTATGTCATAGAGTATGACGATTGATAGAATACATTGACGTTATGTATTGATTGATTGTGTATATGACCTATGTATATATACATTGTGTGTGTGTGGGGGAGGAGATAGGGGATGTACTCCACAGTTTAGGGGAAGATAGGGGATGGACCTCTAAACCGGATGTTGTTTGGGAGGAGATAGGGGATGGACTCCACTGATACAGCTCATATGCTTGTCAGATAATGTGGTGATACAGCTCATATGCTTATCTATGGAAGTGTTGATATAGCTCAGATGCTTATCTGTTGAAGTGTGGATACAGCTTGCATGCTTATCTGTTGAGATGTTGATATAGCTAGTAGGCTTATCTATTGTGAAATGAGAAACGTTTAATATGAGCCACTGTCTCATGAAAATTGTTGGCCAGGTTCTGAGCCGTTGTTGTAAATGGGAAATTGGATAGGAATGGAAAATGAAATGAAACATGGACATAATGGTCATGTAATGAAAATGGGTTATGAATTGATTTATGGGAATTAAACATTTATCAATTGCTAATGTCTTAGTCACTGCTCATACTGTGTTTAGCATATCTCTACTGGGCATTAGCTCACCCTATATGGGACATTATTTTCAGGTACAGGTAGCATGGCACCTCCAAGGACATAGCTTGGATGATAATGAGAGTTGAAGACTCGTTTTGTTTATTTTGTTTGTGTTACATGTATATCAAGCCAAGGGCTTATTTTGTACAGAGCTAGTACTCTTCTTTTGTGTAACCAAGTGTTGACTTGGAAAGCTGTAAGCCCTAAGGGCATTTGCTTTTGTTGTTAACATGTAATACTGTTGTAACAATTACTCTGATGAATGGAAAGGTGTTGATTTTCTTATATCACTGCATGTTTAATTGATGAGTATTATGTATTATTTTGAGGGCGTTACATCTATCATCCGGTCAAGCTGGTCTCTATATACGACGACTACGTGGGTCGATATGACCTCGTGGCCCATGTCAACCCTCCACTGGCTACCTTGAGGTCCGGCTGGCAACTATATGTCTCCCTGGCCGATGGAAAGCTCACCAAGAGCAACCACTTGCCGCCTAGACGGGGCAATGCGAATCAATCTCTCACATGCCCAAATCTACAATAGTTTGAACGCAATTACAATACTGATATATGCCATACAATATGAATTGACATGTAATAAAATTCTTACTAACCTGTAGCAAGACAAGGGGTCCTCCGATCTGAGTCACACCCACCTGAGTGGCTCGACATAACATCCTATACAAGCATGCCAAAGCCGCGGCGCCCCAGCTGTACTGGCCGATGACGTCAATGTCTCTCAACAGTGGCAAATACATCAGCTTGAGCAGGTTCTGTGACTTATCAAGGAGAAGTACACCCCCAATAAGCCACAGAATATATGCTCGCGCATGCTGCTGTACTAACTCATCTGCAGCATCATCTGGAAAATCGCCCTGAAAATGCTCCGACAGCCACCTCACCCTCACTCTACCTGCCTGTAAGTCTGCAAGTGTAGGTGCTACTCCCAATAGCTCAGCACATAGCGCTATCCACTGCTCCGTCGTCAATGATGGGTCAAGTCCAGTAACTGCTCGCCCATCAATCCGTAGACCGTATAGGACAGATACGTCCTGCAATGTGACGGTGGCCTCACCGGTCGGGAAATGAAATGTATGAGTCTCTGTGCGCCATCTCTCGACGAGAGCAGTAATGAGTGGGTGGTCCAGTCTGATATGGCCTATACGATATACACCATAGAATCCCGCGCGTAGTAGACACTACAAGACTCTATGGTCCAATGGACGATCCCACAGGCCGGAATCTCCCCGTCGGCATGCCACCACGGTGCGTGACTAGTCCTGCATAACAGAATGAGTATTTTAAATTATAGCATTATCAAGGAAATGAAAAACAAAATGCAGTGTATTTTCATTGTACGCGTAAAGTCCAACAAACGTTATTGCATACCGGGTCCTCCCATATACTGTCAGCCCGATGTGGATGACTCAAAAGGGGGACCTCATCAGGTAGATGTGCCATGAAGCCTGTACAGTTGAAAAACAAATACATTTTGAAAAACTGTATTGGTGAGCATGTAATTTAACTATATCAATTAAGCTGAAATTATTATGTACATGACGACTTGAAAAATAAATGTGGTCCATTATTTTAAAAGTATAAATTTGTGTGCCATTAACATGGAAGCAATTAACTAAAATCAAAATTTTGCATATTATGTGCCATTAAATATGATAAAACAATTCAACATAACCTATCGTTATCTATGCTATAACCAATATAGAAATCTTTTACAAAATCATTTTACGGTCTCAGTTACATAAGCTTAATAATGACCAATAACATGTGAATAGTTTTTGTATGTCAATATTTACAAAAAAATAGAATGATCATTTTTTTTTCAAAACTTCATTATTGATTTTGGCATATTTGACATAACCTCATTATTGATTTTGACATATTTGACAAAACTTCGTTACATTTATGGCATATTCGACAACTTCATTATTGATTTTGTAATTTTTGTTTTGCAATAAAATAAAAAATTTGTAAATTACGTACATGAAATTCACAAAATTCTGTAATAAACATTTTCAATGAAGTACATAATAAAAACTATGATAGTTGTAAATTTCGTCAAGCAAATAAAACAATTACAATATATAAAGAATTAAACAACAGAAATGATCTATTACAAATAAAAAATGTTCTATTACATGTATGACCCCGTTTACAAATAATGAATTACAAAAGAAAAGAAAATGATCTATTACAAATAAAAAATGTTCTATTACATGTATGACCCCGTTTACAAATAATGAATTACAAAAGAAAAGAAAATGATCTATTACAAATAAAAAATGTTCTATTACATGTATGACCCCGTTTACAAATAATGAATTACAAAAGAAAAGAAAATGATCTATTACAAATAAAAAATGTTCTATTACATGTATGACCCCGTTTACAAATAATGAATTACAAAAGAAAAGAAAATGATCTATTACAAATAAAAAATGTTCTATTACATGTATGACCCCGTTTACAAATAATGAATTACAAAAGAAAAGAAAATGATCTATTACAAATAAAAAATGTTCTATTACATGTATGACCCCGTTTACAAATAATGAATTACAAAAGAAAAGAAAATGATCTATTACAAATAAAAAATGTTCTATTACATGTATGACCCCGTTTACAAATAATGAATTACAAAAGAAAAGAAAATGATCTATTACAAATAAAAAATGTTCTATTACATGTATGACCCCGTTTACAAATAATGAATTACAAAAGAAAAGAAAATGATCTATTACAAATAAAAAATGTTCTATTACATGTATGACCCCGTTTACAAATAATGAATTACAAAAGAAAAGAAAATGATCTATTACAAATAAAAAATGTTCTATTACATGTATGACCCCGTTTACAAATAATGAATTACAAAAGAAAAGAAAATGATCTATTACAAATAAAAAATGTTCTATTACATGTATGACCCCGTTTACAAATAATGAATTACAAAAGAAAAGAAAATGATCTATTACAAATAAAAAATGTTCTATTACATGTATGACCCCGTTTACAAATAATGAATTACAAAAGAAAAGAAAATGATCTATTACAAATAAAGAATTACAAAAAGATCGTATGACCCCGTTTACAAATAATGAATTACAAAAGAAAAGAAAATGATCTATTACAAATAAAAAATGTTCTATTAAATGTATGACCCCGTTTACAAATAATGAATTACAAAAGAAAAGAAAATGATCTATTACAAATAAAAAATGTTCTATTAAATGTATGACCCCGTTTACAAATAATGAATTACAAAAGAAAAGAAAATGATCTATTACAAATAAAAAATGTTCTATTAAATGTATGACCCCGTTTACAAATAATGAATTACAAAAGAAAAGAAAATGATCTATTACAAATAAAAAATGTTCTATTAAATGTATGACCCCGTTTACAAATAATGAATTACAAAAGAAAAGAAAATGATCTATTACAAATAAAAAATGTTCTATTAAATGTATGACCCCGTTTACAAATAATGAATTACAAAAGAAAAGAAAATGATCTATTACAAATAAAAAATGTTCTATTAAATGTATGACCCCGTTTACAAATAATGAATTACAAAAGAAAAGAAAATGATCTATTACAAATAAAAAATGTTCTATTAAATGTATGACCCCGTTTACAAATAATGAATTACAAAAGAAAAGAAAATGATCTATTACAAATAAAAAATGTTCTATTAAATGTATGACCCCGTTTACAAATAATGAATTACAAAAGAAAAGAAAATGATCTATTACAAATAAAAAATGTTCTATTAAATGTATGACCCCGTTTACAAATAATGAATTACAAAAGAAAAGAAAATGATCTATTACAAATAAAAAATGTTCTATTAAATGTATGACCCCGTTTACAAATAATGAATTACAAAAGAAAAGAAAATGATCTATTACAAATAAAAAATGTTCTATTAAATGTATGACCCCGTTTACAAATAATGAATTACAAAAGAAAAGAAAATGATCTATTACAAATAAAAAATGTTCTATTAAATGTATGACCCCGTTTACAAATAATGAATTACAAAAGAAAAGAAAATGATCTATTACAAATAAAAAATGTTCTATTAAATGTATGACCCCGTTTACAAATAATGAATTACAAAAGAAAAGAAAATGATCTATTACAAATAAAAAATGTTCTATTAAATGTATGACCCCGTTTACAAATAATGAATTACAAAAGAAAAGAAAATGATCTATTACAAATAAAAAATGTTCTATTAAATGTATGACCCCGTTTACAAATAATGAATTACAAAAGAAAAGAAAATGATCTATTACAAATAAAAAATGTTCTATTAAATGTATGACCCCGTTTACAAATAATGAATTACAAAAGAAAAGAAAATGATCTATTACAAATAAAAAATGTTCTATTAAATGTATGACCCCGTTTACAAATAATGAATTACAAAAGAAAAGAAAATGATCTATTACAAATAAAAAATGTTCTATTAAATGTATGACCCCGTTTACAAATAATGAATTACAAAAGAAAAGAAAATGATCTATTACAAATAAAAAATGTTCTATTAAATGTATGACCCCGTTTACAAATAATGAATTACAAAAGAAAAGAAAATGATCTATTACAAATAAAAAATGTTCTATTAAATGTATGACCCCGTTTACAAATAATGAATTACAAAAGAAAAGAAAATGATCTATTACAAATAAAAAATGTTCTATTAAATGTATGACCCCGTTTACAAATAATGAATTACAAAAGAAAAGAAAATGATCTATTACAAATAAAAAATGTTCTATTAAATGTATGACCCCGTTTACAAATAATGAATTACAAAAGAAAAGAAAATGATCTATTACAAATAAAAAATGTTCTATTAAATGTATGACCCCGTTTACAAATAATGAATTACAAAAGAAAAGAAAATGATCTATTACAAATAAAAAATGTTCTATTAAATGTATGACCCCGTTTACAAATAATGAATTACAAAAGAAAAGAAAATGATCTATTACAAATAAAAAATGTTCTATTAAATGTATGACCCCGTTTACAAATAATGAATTACAAAAGAAAAGAAAATGATCTATTACAAATAAAAAATGTTCTATTAAATGTATGACCCCGTTTACAAATAATGAATTACAAAAGAAAAGAAAATGATCTATTACAAATAAAAAATGTTCTATTAAATGTATGACCCCGTTTACAAATAATGAATTACAAAAGAAAAGAAAATGATCTATTACAAATAAAAAATGTTCTATTAAATGTATGACCCCGTTTACAAATAATGAATTACAAAAGAAAAGAAAATGATCTATTACAAATAAAAAATGTTCTATTAAATGTATGACCCCGTTTACAAATAATGAATTACAAAAGAAAAGAAAATGATCTATTACAAATAAAAAATGTTCTATTAAATGTATGACCCCGTTTACAAATAATGAATTACAAAAGAAAAGAAAATGATCTATTACAAATAAAAAATGTTCTATTAAATGTATGACCCCGTTTACAAATAATGAATTACAAAAGAAAAGAAAATGATCTATTACAAATAAAAAATGTTCTATTAAATGTATGACCCCGTTTACAAATAATGAATTACAAAAGAAAAGAAAATGATCTATTACAAATAAAAAATGTTCTATTAAATGTATGACCCCGTTTACAAATAATGAATTACAAAAGAAAAGAAAATGATCTATTACAAATAAAAAATGTTCTATTAAATGTATGACCCCGTTTACAAATAATGAATTACAAAAGAAAAGAAAATGATCTATTACAAATAAAAAATGTTCTATTAAATGTATGACCCCGTTTACAAATAATGAATTACAAAAGAAAAGAAAATGATCTATTACAAATAAAAAATGTTCTATTAAATGTATGACCCCGTTTACAAATAATGAATTACAAAAGAAAAGAAAATGATCTATTACAAATAAAAAATGTTCTATTAAATGTATGACCCCGTTTACAAATAATGAATTACAAAAGAAAAGAAAATGATCTATTACAAATAAAAAATGTTCTATTAAATGTATGACCCCGTTTACAAATAATGAATTACAAAAGAAAAGAAAATGATCTATTACAAATAAAAAATGTTCTATTAAATGTATGACCCCGTTTACAAATAATGAATTACAAAAGAAAAGAAAATGATCTATTACAAATAAAAAATGTTCTATTAAATGTATGACCCCGTTTACAAATAATGAATTACAAAAGAAAAGAAAATGATCTATTACAAATAAAAAAT